AAGTGTGTCTGTGGGTCTTACAATGTAATTGTCCAGAGTATTTTTGATAGGCAGGGTTTATCTTTCAGTTACTAATTTCTCATTAAGCAGGAATTTCTTAAAGCAGGCGAAACAAGTGAAGTATGACTAATGCTTCCCCATTTTTGGAGAACGATAGATTTGGTAAATGCATAATGTAAAGGGGCCTGCACACTAGTAACACCCTTTGCTTTTCGTTAATACCCAAGGTAGCTAAAGAGCACTGCAAGCAGCTTAGCGAGATTGGACTGGATCTCACCTTCATCATTCATGCCCTTCTGGTAAAGGATATCAAAGGTGCTTTACAGAGCTACAAGGATATCATCATCGAGGCCACCAAGCACCGCAACTCTGAGGAGATGTGGAGAAGGATGAACCTAATGACTCCAGAGGCACTGGGGAAACTCAGGGAGGAGATGAGGAGCTGCGGGGTAGGCAATTTTGACCAATACACGGGTGATGACTGCTGGGTCAACCTTAGCTATACTGTAGTAGCTTTTACTAAGCAGACTATGGCCTTTTTGGAGGAAGCGTTAAAGCTTTACTTTCCAGAGCTGCATATGGTTCTTTTGGAGAGTCTCGTGGAAATCATCCTGGTGGCTGTCCAGCATGTTGATTACAGTTTACGGTGTGAACAGGACCCCGAGAAGAAAGCATTCATTAGGCAGAATGCATCCTTCCTTTATGAAACTGTCCTTCCTGTTGTGGAAAAAAGATTTGAGGAAGGAGTTGGAAAGCCAGCCAAGCAGCTACAGGATCTGAGAAATGCTTCAAGGTTGATGCGTGTAAATCCGGAAAGTACCACCTCTGTGGTGTGAAGTGACCTAACTGTTCTTACAAAAAGAGTGTCAAAAGCACTTACTGAAAACCTTGTACATTGCATATATGAACTAAATGGATTTTTTTGAGTCCCTGAAAAATGCAAAGTCTAACTGCTGCATTCCAGAAGCTGAAGACTTAACAATCAAAGCCTGCAAGGATGCAATGCTTTTCTTGGTGGATGGTGGGTAGGGGAATGAGCAGTAAGGTCAAGGTCACGTGTCCTGTAAGAATGGCTTGTGTAGTGTTTGTGGCTTGGGAAATACTGTAATATACAATTTTTGGCCAAATGTTTGTGGAAGTCTTAAATGTACCATATGGCAGGAAGAGATCACTTCTCATCATGTCACTGTAGGAATTCTTTTTTAAGGCAGTGTTCTGGTAGGAGGGGAGGTGCTGAAAAGCTCCCAGGGTGTGGTAGTCGGTGAGGCACATCCACCATCCAGATGTGACTCAGCACTGCAGATAAACAGCATGGATTTGCACAGTCTGATTTGTTTGGTAGCAGTGCAGACGCTTCACTTTCTCCAACATTCAAATTCTCTTAATTCATTTCAGAGGCAGATCTAAATGAAAAATGGTTCTTGTATAGGTTTTTGCATTTGGGTGAAGGGGCTGCTCCTCTTTCATCAGCTGGCCTGTCAGCTTAAATTACAGCTCAGTGAAAACAAACCTTCTGCTGTCAGGAAGATTTGTTCCCTTCAAAGAAGAAGCAAGAATAACTTTCTTCCCTTTCCCTTTGTGTTCCCCTTCCTTGTTTTCTCATGGACTTTTTTGGGGTCAAGTCTATTTGATGAAGTACGCACTCTGGCTTGAGGTGCTGTCATAAACGTGTTATGGGTCATTACCTACTGGTAGAAACCATAGTGAAGAGGCATAAATGCTCTTGAGATGTGCAGGGCAAGGAGAGGGTCTGAAGGGACTGTTTTGTTTGTAAGAAACAGAATGCTGGTTCTGTACAGAAGCAGCACAAGATGAAGAGGCTGGGTGTGGGGCTTTTTGTAAATGATGCCATCTTCAAAATACATGCTCTGTCTCTCTTGCAATATTAGTGTCGTTTCCTGTAGTACAGCAATAACCAAGAACTGCCTTTTTTTGCAGAAAACACAAGGACTTTATTTGGTTGGGAACTCTAATGTAGATGGGGGAAGTTTATGCAAATGCTTGCTTGTTTGGATTGAAGGTGATGGCTGTCTTGCTCCGTATGTGTCTCTGAAAATAAAAGAAGCCAAGTCTTGTGTAAAGGCTGGCTTTAGAAAGCTGTCAGCATCATCTTCGAAGCTGTGTAAACTTCTTCCCCTTTAGTGCAGACTTTCTTAACTGTGAAAAAATCATGTTAAAGCTAAGTAACCTTCTATTAGACTCCCAGTAAGTGTTCTTAACTGGAGTAATTGAGTATCCTATCCCTCTTGCACTTTCAAATGAAGGCTTTTGCAATTTGTATCATGGTAACAAATGCCTTGTGACTGCTGGAACAAACAAAAGATACTGCTAGTAAAGCATTCTGCATGACTGCTTATACTGGAGCTTCTTAATTTCTCCCTGTTTTTACAGTGCTAGTTCAATGCAGTTTTCACTTTAGTGGCCTGTTTTCTTTCTCTTGCTCTTTGGATGCCTTTTGAACGGTCAGATTTTGCAAAGCATCCTACTCTCTCTGCTCACTTGCTCTCCAGCGTTTGAGCCCTTTGCTAGCAAATCACAGGAAAAAAAAAATGTACAAAATAGTTTTAAAGGGTAACTTGGTGCTCTTCACTAAAAGTGATGGAAAACCAGTTTTATTTTAAGGTAATGGGACAGTGAGAGTTAGAACTTGTGTGAACATGTTATCTCCAAGAGAGAGCCGCAAAGGTGTTCTTTCACTAGAGAACTATCTTCGATACCAGAACCTAGTGAAGTATATTGAAATAATATATTCTCTGTCATCTGTTTAAAGTGGTCAAAGGTAGCAACCTGGCCTTACTTAATTTGAGAAATATTTTAAGTGGATTATAAGTAAGAGCTCTCCATGATGACAGGTATTTTGGAGGAGAGGGAGAAGGGAGAGCTTTTTTTCTCTGAGGACAGGTATATTATATTGTTTTCTTTGCCGCAGAAGGAAGCATCTTAGAAGCACAGAGTAAGTACAGATGAGCCTTATGTAATTATGGGTTTTTTTGCGGTGCAAGAGGAGGGTAAGCTGCGGGACTGCAGCTCAAGACTGATTATTGTGATGCTTGAGGATTTTGTGTAAGAAGCTGAATTGCAGTTTCCTGATTCCCAGCTCTGGCATAAGATTGAATAGGAGGAGAGCCCTACTCATGCTTCTGTTGCAAGCGTCCGAGGATGAAATGTAGAATGTAATTCTGCCGTGGGCTCCGTTATGCCTCTGTCACCACTCCCTTCATCAATCTATTTACAGCACACAGGGCCTACTGATTTTGTCTCTGCTGTCATCCATGGGGCAGTGGGCTTATGTGGACGTTGGTTTTAATGGATCAGGGAATCTGGCCTTTCCTTTGGATGATCAAATACCATGTTTGTGTGCCTGTCACAGTTCAAACACACGTGCAGATTTGTATAAACTGCTGTGGGTAGCATTGATATTTTGTAACTTGTGAATCTATTCAAGTAACAATAAAAGAAAAAGGATGACTTAAGGAAAATGGTGTGCAATTAAATTAAACATACTTTGTATATTAATTCAGCTAACAGAAAAAGTCAAAATATGCTGAGTCATGATTTAATAAATTTCAGATTTGCAGATGGTAATTTGGAATGGCATTTTTCTTTTCCTGAGCTGTACACTTGTGGGGATAAGTGTTGTTCAAGTTGGGACTTGCAGTAACTACTGAATAATATGATAGCAGTTTTGTTCATTTGGGGAAGAACTAGTATTTTTTGTTTGTTTGTTTTGAGACAATTGCATATAAAATCTGGTTTCCTTTAGCTGCTGTGATGAAATTGTGATGTGTAAAATGAAGATTTTATTTTTAATTCAGATGAATTTGTGTATTAGAATTCAATGCAATAACTTTTCTGAACAGTGAGGACCATGTATTAAAACTTTTGGACATACAACACTAGTGGTTTATTTCTGGTTTTATTACATCATCATCAGAAAGGGGATGTTGGTTCAAAGTTCAAGTCCACTAATAAATTTCCAGTGAGGTCAAAGAGCTTCAGGTCAGTCCTTTGTAAAGGGGAAGTGGCAGCCTGATGAAAGCTGAGTGATGTCACTTCAGTTACATTCTTATGAAAGTTAGCATGGGGCTTGATAAGGTGAAGTTGGAAGAAAATGTTTCTCAACATCTGATTCAAATTGAGGAGAGGCTGTGCTCCAAGTCCCGTGGGACTCTGGGTGAGTCGGTGAGGCCTTACCAACACACCAGGGCAGCATAATGTTGTAGCGCTTGTTAAACTTCCAGAGATTATTTTGTCACCGGAGTCCCTTCATACTTGAGTGCTGAATGTGCAGTACTGTCCATCTCCTCGCTAGGTGGAGTTTTGCCTGTAAAACCTCGGTAGGCAGATTTCAACGTGGGCAGGCACGGGCATTAATTCTGTGCTACCTTGCAGCCTGGGATGCTTTTGTAGCACTTTGGGGGAATGAAGATGCTGCACTGAACGATTCAGATGGTTGAGTCAACTCTTTTTTTCCTTCCTTGGTAGTGCTTTTCCTCTGCTTTTTCAAATTTCTGTACTGTTAATTTCTTAATTCTTCATGTTTTCTTTTCCTGCTGTGTTTCTATACCATCAGCAGGCATCCTGCAGAGGATCTCAGCTTTCTACTTTAGTTTCTAAAGGTACGTCCCAGCATGTGTGACTTTTGTTCTGCCCAGGAGACACTCTGCTAGACCACAAGCCCCTGCAGGAATGTGAAAAGTCGCTTGTCCCAGCTTCAGCTGTCTTGTCTAAGATGTTCAGCTTAATGACTTCTCAAAGTCAAACTTGTGTGACCTCTTGTCATTTTACCTCAGTATTGGACTGAAATCCCAATGAGAGCTCACACTCTTAATGCAGCTTTGCACTCCAGCACAACAATGCAGGAGGTCCCTGCCACCGAGCTTCATAACTTATGCACTCTTTACATTTCCTTTTCTGCACAGCTCTCACATTTTAATCAGGTTACCTTGCACTCAAAAATATTAGTAGGTCTGCAGACACCTAGTGTGTTTTCTCTGGAGAAAATCAAATCCAGAATGGGGCTTATCTGTCAAAGAGCTTTGTGAGAATAGCCTGTAGGGGACATATTTTTCTTCAGAGGTTTAAGAGTTGTGATATGCATTCAATCCCTACAAACTCTGAAAGGTGGTGGAGAGAGAAACACTGCAAACCGTGGAAAGGACGTTTTCCAATCTTATGTAGTATACTGTTTGTGTGAAAATAGATGTACGCCCTTTACAATTACAAGGGATGCTGACTAACAGAGTAATAGAGCACAGTTTGATTGAGCCACCTCGGGCACGGAGTAACTACCTCTTGAGTATTTAGGAAACTTTGCTAATACAACTTCAGTGGCCTCAGCATGCCCTGTAATACAGTTTTCAACTCCGGGGTTACAGGCTGAGCTAGATTCTCTGCCACAAATGTGCTCTTTTTGACACAGCAGAGAGAAAATACTAGCAAGAGGCCTGGCCTGTGCTGACCACTGAGCTGTAATCCCCTTCCCGGTGGTTTATGTGACTGATCAGGACAGCTTTAAGGCAATTTTAGATCACCCTTCCGTGACCCTGTGGTACTTACTCTCTCTCCCTCCCCATCCAGTGGCTGGATCACAGCTGCATTCCTTTCAATGGCCTGAGCGTCCCGCTTCTCTCCCAAGCAGAAGGTTATATGGGAGGATGGAGAGCACTTGCTCCCCAAATTACTTGGAGAGAGCTGTGATGGCACATGGTTACCAGTGGGGGTCCCACAAGAGCTCTGCATTGCTGAGCATCTCCTCGGTGCAGGGAAAACAGGCGTCTGCTGCATGTGCAAGCAGATGCGTTTGCATTCAATTTGTCCTCATCGACCAGTACAAGAGCTAAAAGCAGGTATATAATCTGAGATATTAATCTCTTCGTGTCATGGCAGAAGCTGGACTCTGAGGCATCGGCAAAGATTAACCAAGATATAATTTGGCCCTGCAGCTGCTGTGAATCTTGTTCAGATGCGCTAGTATGTTGGCACATGATTATTGAATGTGTTGCGTTAGGGAGGTGGACCAAGGAGAAGAGCAGGTAGCATTAACTTCACTGCTGCTTGGGAAATCCTTGGAGATGCTGGGGGTAATGATGATTCCAGGTTATTTAAAAAAAATAAATCAGCTCTTCAGTTAGTTGCACCGACACACACAGGTCTTTGCAATCCCAGAAAACTGATTTGGTCAAAATCAGAATTCTCATGCGGTTGAGAGAGGGTTAGCCAAATCCTTTGCTATACGAGGCACATGAATCTGAACACCTGCAAACTTGGGCACAATTGAGATCCAAACTTCAGGCACTCCCCAGGCTGACTGTGGGCCAAGGGAAAACTTTGCCTCAAACACTTCCAGACTTCAAGTTCTCTGGACTTTGAGGCATTCATACTCCTTCTAAAATCACAATTGATAGACAACTGTCTGTGCCAGTCAGATTTGTTAAGACTAACACGGTTTGGTTTTCTTTAATGACAGCTTTACAGCACTGCTGCAATCTGCGGACTCCCGTTGTTATGTTCATTTTCAGCTCTCCGGACCCTGTTTGCGCAGTAGGAAGGGGCCCAGCTCCCTGTCCTAGCTCCTGCAGGATGGGGTTGTCAGAAGAGTACTTGAAGCTCTGCAGAGAATCCTTCCTTCCTCAGGATTCAGTGAATTTTCCTCTCAAAATGTGGGTGTCTGATAAGCACCTCCTGTTCTGCTTCACCCCGCCCAACAATTGGCAGGATTGTTTGTTTTCCCACTCCGCAGTCTAACTTCTCCAGCAGAGGTGCCAGATTGGCTTTGTGGAGGAAGGAGGCCAAACTGCACGTTAAATTACAGTCCATGCATCTGTCTTAACGTAATTTAGGCCATATACCTCCCTGCCTGCTCTCGCTAATGGCAATGTACGTGGGGAGGAGGGGGATTTGGGGGGGTTGCAAGGAAAGATTTGTAATCTTTGTCCCTCCAACTTGCATCCAGCAAGGTGCTTAAGCACACACTGAAGAGCATAATCTGTCCCCCTGAATTTGAGAGGCCCACTCAGTTCATTATAGATGTTAAAGTGCTTTTTGTTCATGGAGCATCAGCAAATTTCTGTTCAATTTTGCAAAACCAACAGGCAAAGAAGCAGTGAGGGGACGGTACTAGTGCAACAGCAGCACATGAGCAAACAAAGTGTGCATTTGGGCGACACCTCAGCTCTAGCGTGGCAAATTGCGGTCCCAAACAAAGCCTTTCCCTTCTTCAGTGGGAGCAGTAGGCTCCATAAATCACCGGCGTTGCGATTTTCCAGGAGGCGTCAATAATAGTGTTGGACATGCTAAAATAAGGTTGCTTCATCTGACCGGCTGTGATACGTGGCACCGCGTTAGGGTGGAGGAAATGCCCTCAGGAAAACTCCTGTCACACCCCCATCCTCCCTTGTTTTACCCAAACCCAGCACCTCCCACCGTGAGTGCTTCCCTCCTGCTGTCAAACCTGGCCTGAAATAGGTCTCCTCCCTCGGTGGGATTAAACCCCATCTTGTCTGTGCGGCGTCACGCGATGCGCACAGGGGGCATCTTCACACCAAATAGCCCTTCTCCTGGTGTGCCTGTAATAAGTCACCATTTTTTTGTTTTCCCCTGAAGTTTATTACCATTTAAATAGCCTTCTGGCCTGAGACGCCTGGGGGGTTTCTGGCTCTGCTGCTTCATGCTCTGTGAAATTAATTCTCCTAAGAGCGTGTCCTCACAGGAGAATGGTTACGGGTTCAACTAAGCTGGTTTAGAAACCATTTTAAACCCACACAAGGGTTTCTGTGGCCCTTTAGTTTTGACTGGAGCACTTTCTACATACTTGGCTTGGGGTATAATACTCTTAGACAGAGAAGTGTTTATTCCCAACCAAAATCACAGCACTGAATCTTGCTGTCTGGGGCAATGTTTTTGAATACTGTGGGCAAATTCCGTATTTAACTCAGTGTGTGTTTTTAGGCCTTGAAGATTTAAGGGCCAGACAGCAAATGACTTTAACTGGGAAGCAATTAATTGCACAAATTTCCTCCTTGCAGTCAGGGTAGCGCTCATCCAGGTAACAGTCCCTGCAAGGCGATGGCTCATGCCCGCGCACTACTTTTATTACTGTATATCTCTGCTAATTAGTTCCTGTTGGATGGTGGGCCAGGTTGCTACAGGGCATTCAGATAAAAGGTGAAATCAGTTAAGACAATCTAAAGATAGCTATAAGAAGAAAAACAAATGGTTTGTTTTCCTG